GCTTTTCTCGATGATGCCTGGGGTAGAGCAGCTGGGGCGCTGCCGGGTTGGTCCCGCCACACCAAGGGTCGGTGCTACCAGACCAACCCAGCAGCACTCCAGCTGCTCTGCCCCAGGCGTGTCCGATTCAGCCACTGCTGGTCAGTTTCAACAGCGGCTGAATCTGGACCTCGGCGCTGCGGGGACCAACCTGGCAGCGCCCCAGCTGCTCTACCCCAGGTGTCCCCAAGTCAGCTGCTGCTGAAACTGATCAGCAGCTGATTCCAGGAAGCCCAGGGCAAAGCAGCTCTGTCTCAGGCTTCCTGTAGTCAGCCGCTGGTCAGTTTCAGCAACAGCTGAATGGGGACACCTGGGGTACAATATGTACCAGTTCCGACTTACATACAAATTCAACTTAAGAACAAACCTACAGTCCCTATCTTGTACCAAGTCAGCTGCTGCTGAAACTGATCAGCAGCTGATTCCAGGAAGCCCAGGGCAAAGCAGCTCTGTCTCAGGCTTCCTGTAGTCAGCCGCTGGTCAGTTTCAGCAACAGCTGAATGGGGACACCTGGGGTACAATATGTACCAGTTCCGACTTACATACAAATTCAACTTAAGAACAAACCTACAGTCCCTATCTTGTACGTAACCCGGGGACTGCCTGTACACCTCGCTCCTTCTCTCTTTTGGGTATTTTAATAGCTCCAAGATGCTATTCAAGCTAATACCTGTGGACTGGGCAGTAACTGTCTAGTTTTTCCAGGATGTCTAATTCCACATTGCATCTCTTGTCTTTTGAAATCTGATATGAAAGCATGCATTAATTATACATCTCCCTCCTGGGAATACCCTTTCATCTCTACGCTAAAACAGAGTAGTTCTAGTCTCTGTTTTTGTTTTAGGAGGTTTTTTTTGGCTGTTAGCCAAACCGAAATGGAAACTCAACTGAGGTTTTGCACAACATATTCTTCAAAGAGCTCCCACAAATTCAGCCAGTTTTATTACAAATATTCGTCTTGAGTAGGATATGCAGAGAAAGAACATATTGCTTCAGTCTCTTTTGCTAACTTTTACTTAAATAGCAAGTTGAGCAGTTAACCCTAAACACCTCATTTTAGTATTTTCCTATTTTATTCCCTCACCTTCTGCAACTTTTCCTGTTCCCTCTCTTGTTCAGCTATCAGTACTGATAGCTGTTGTGCATGCTGCTCTTCAAGTCTCTTCCTCATTTCTTCAAAAGCCAACAATTTATTTTTCAAAATGTCATCTTCTGGAAAGAAAAAAAAATACATGCATCACAAAGCATTAGTCATATATTCTTACTTTTTTAAAGTATCCTGCACACTAGACAAACAGACCTCTATATTTTCAATACAGCTTCCACTGGCATTATTCAGCACTGTTGATATAGCCACAAAACATGAAGTAAAATATTTTTCTTTTATTTCTGATGCCCATTACGTATTTAGATATTGTTTAATTGAATAATCATGTAACCGCAACATGATTATTGGATGGTCCCCCAGGGGTGAGGCCAGCAGCCAGTGCACTCCTGGCACTACTTGTGGGGAGCCCCCTGCCACCTTATGCAGCTGTCTATCAGAGGCAGCAGTGCAGAGTAATAGAGGGAAGGTAGCTCTGCAGGATCCATTAAGGTCCCTGCAGACACAGGCTATGCCAGCATCCTGCTTGCCCCCCTCACCCACGCTGCTGCCTCCTTCTGAGCACCGGCTCCCATCTGCCCCCTTGCTGCCTCTGTGGGAGAGAACAAAGGGGGAGGGGGAACAGGTGGCTCCACAGCTTTCTGCATGTACCAGCTCCTGCCTGCCCCCCTCACATTCCATGTTGCTGCCTCTCTATCAGAGGCAACAGCCCAGGAATGGTGGGGGGGCAGGCAGCTCCACAGAGCCAGTGCTTGTGGGAGGCATCTTAAAAGCTGGCTTTCCATGGGCACCAGCTCCCGCCTCCCCACCTCCTTGCTGCCTTTACATCAAAGGCATTAAGGGGGGGAAGGAAGTGCATGTTGGTACCAGTCTTATTGGTTAATCACTTTACATGACTATACGCCAGCATCGCTAATGCCCAATAATGTACTACAGGTTGAACCTCTCTAGTCTGGTGTCTTTGGGACCTGACCAGTGCCAAACCAGAGAATCTGTCCAACCATAGGAGGTCAATATTGTCTAGCACCATTACCCACACTTACACTGCTTATTAGGCTCTTAGTTGACATTTAGAATACTGAGAGCCAGTACTGGTGTCTGTAAACATACTTTATGGGACCATGGGAAACCCATGGTAAGTGGATATTTGGCTAACTAATCTCATGCCGGACCATAGATATTGCCAGACAAGAGAGTGCTGGATTAGAGAAGTTCAACCTGTACAAAGAATAATTGCTTTTATGGAATTGCAGTTACTCGTAAGTGCTTTATGTTTACATTCACATTTGTGAGATCAGTATATCCATGGATGGGATGGCATAAACAGCACTGACCAATCCCAGATTCAAGAGGTAACATGCAGTCTAGCTGAGAAAAACATGACTAGTTGCTTGAGTGAACAAAACATTTATTCTGCTCAGTCTGATAGTTTTCTCTAATGAACTCTGTAAAAAACTAAGCAGACATACATGATACTATTCTTGAATTGGAAGAACACCAATCATAGTAATAATGAAGTTACTTGCAGCTTATATTTTAATGCATTTAAATTTTTATTTGTAGTGTGCATTTGTTCGCTTACATTTTAAGGACTCAAAACTGCTCTACCTTAATTTTGTCACCTCACGCTAGAAGTCCCATAAAGTTAGGAATTCACTAGGTTTTCCTTGTGTTATTAAAAATGCCTCAGGTGTGTCCCCCTACAGCAGAGATGGGCAATAATTTTTAATGGAGATGTACTCCAAGATTCTGTTAAGTGGTCACGGGCCATTTTTCTATAGAAGGAGTACAGTGTTTAGGATGGAGATTGGGTGCAGAAGGGAGTTCGGGTAGAGGACTGTGGTGCAGGAGAGGGTGTGAGGTCTGAGAGAGAATTTGGGTGAATGAGGTTGTGATCTCAGGCAGGAGATTGTGGTGCAGAGTTTGGGAGGGGGCATGGGTGCAGGAGAGGATTCTTACCTGGTAGAGGAGTGTAGGAAGGGATTCAGCATCTGGCGGGGCGGGGGGGGGAGATGCAGAGGGTTGGAGCAAGAGAGAGTGGTGATCTGAGACAGGGAGTTGGGGTATGGGAGGAGATGGGGGGGGTGCCAGATGCAGGCTCTGGCCGGGAGGCACTTGCATAGGCAGTTCACAGCCAGCAGCCCAACGGGACTCTCAGGCAGGCTCACTGCCTGACGCAGCCCCAGACTATTCAAAGCATCTGGCTGCTGAGGCCATGAGCCTCTCTGTACCATGTGCTCTGTGGTAAGGAGGGTACACTGTGCGCTGCCCCCACGCCTCGCACAATCATTGCAGCTCCCATTGGAATGGATTATGAGCTGTAATGATTGTGCTGGCGCAGCGCACAAAGTCTCTCCCCCACTGCAAGGAACGTGCGAGGTCTAGAGGCACGTGACCCCAGCAGCTGACCGCTATGTGCAGTTTGGGGCTGTGATGGACAGGGAGCCATACCTGAGGGACTGCAGGCTGAATCAAAAAGCTAGGTGGACCAGATCCAGCCCATAGGCTGTAAAGTGCCCGCCCCTGCTCTACAGGCACAGTGAGTCTGTACTGCTAGAATCTCTCCAGTTTCTTTGGAGGTTTCAGATTAAAACTGGGTGAATGTTTAACACACAGCCCACAAACCCATGCATGCTCTTATGAAAATGTCTTTGCATTATTTTTCAACTAAGTTTTCCTCCTTATGTTCCACCAGGAACATGTTTATTGACATGATTGTTTCATTTCTGTTCATTGGCTTTTCATTTTTTTTACTCTCTCTGATCTAATTAGAGACTGCTCTATGGAAAACAGTTGTATTAAAACTTCGTAATACAAATAGGAAAGACCGGTTAAAGCAGCAAATGGTGATTCTGAGCAATTGGATTAGATACAAAATGTTTTATATAACAGGAAAACGAATACCTTTACTGGTATGACAGTGTCTTCGCTTACGGGAAGACTGACACTATGGCAGTTGATCTTCCGGCATTCGATTTAGTAGGTCTAATGAAGACCTGCTAACTCGAACTCTGAGGGCATCCTCGTTGGCACCAGTACTCCTACTCTTCATGAGGAGTAAGGGAAGTTGATGGAAATGTTGACTCCAGTTACCTTTTCACATAGCTGGAAATGTAAATCTTAAAGCCAACCTTCCCTCATAGTGTGGACTTGGCCTATATGCTATATGAAAATGTCTAAGCATATACTCCTTTATTATTCAACAAATAAGAGGTATAAGGTTTTTGTCTCTAAATGTGGCAATTTTCAAATACAGAAGATCTCTTTGATCATTCTGTAGCAGCTTTCAGAAACTTGGTTTGTTACTTACTTAATGTTCATAGATTAAAAATACAGAAGTGTATCCTGCCATTTTAGCATAAATGATGAATAAACTAGGGGAATAATCCTAAAACTAAGGTGCCGATAAAAGACAGTGGCCTATCTTCTAAAACTGAAATTTCTAACTAAAAATAACTTTGACTTCCAACTCTGAAAAAGGATGACCAGAGAAAAATGTTCTCTCACCATTTGTACCACTGCCTGAGGTTTCATTCTTGTTACCATCAACAGATCCTATGGGGCACTTTCGGTCTTGCAACTTCCACTTCTCTTGTTCTTCTGTTCCAACTGATAAAATATATGGATTGTTCTCTTTCTGTGAACTAGCACTATCCAAATCAAGCCTACGTTTCACTTTTTCAAAACCATTTTCTACAAACTGTTCATTTCCAGAAGAAACATTTGGAGTATCCAGCTGCTGATGCTTATTCTGGCTTTGCATCAGTAATGGAGATGGATTTTCTACATCATAAGATTTATTGAGTTCCACTGGTGAATTACTTTTGGTCTTTTCTACTAAACTAACTGCCTTGTTTCCATTTATAGTTACTAGCTTTTGAGTCACCACTGACTGATTGGCTGCACATGACTCAAGCAATTTTGGAGTTGCAGTACAAGTAGTACTATCCATTTTATATGGCCTTCTACCATCCAACTTTGGGTCCATTACAGAAGATACCACTGCTCCTTTGCTCTCTAGTTGACTAATGGAACGCTGGCACACATGATCTGAAGTCTCTGAAGAATTGTGGTTGACAACATGAGCTTTGCTAGAACAAGCTGTGGTGAAGTCAGCAGTGAATTTTGGCACAGGTTCAGATGCATTGGTTTGGTCAGTGACATCTTGTATGATCAAGTCAATTGCTCCTCCCTTGTTTTTAGGACTTAATTCATAGGCATTCACAGGGTTATTGATAACTATATGTCCCATTGATGAAGGTCTTGGACGTCTTCGGTGCATTTTAGGGCTCATACTTGGTTCTGGGCTAGGTAATTTGGCATAAGAACCAGTAAGGCTTCTGACACGACTACTGTCATGATCAAAGGTACAAGTGTTTTTAAATTCTTCATCTGAATCCAAATCCAAAACTGGGGATGTTCCAGCTCTTGTAGGTATATCCACTTTAGAGAAACTGGGTGAAGCTGGTGTACTTATGCTATTTATTTGGGCAGAGGCACCTTGGAGTAGAATATTTGATTTATTAAGACTTGGTTTATCAAGTGTCACAGCAGTACAACTCCTGCCTGTAAACCTTACTCTCTCTTTCCCAGAGACATCTGATTTAACTGCATCATTTTCTTTATCTGAATTACTTTCATTAAAACTTCTTTTTGAATTACCTCTCATGCTACGTCTGGTTTGCTCTCTCTCTATGTACTCCCTGGACTTTTTCAGAAGATTCTGAAGACTCATTACATAAGGATCAGGTACTTCCTCAGCAGCTGGTGGCATCTCCATATGCTCTTTATTTACATGTGCACTTGTAGTAGTCATATTTTGTGTTTTATCAGGAAACGTAACCTCAAGGCAAGAAATATTTTCTGAGAGGTTGTTCTCACTTTGTTCAGGAGGAATATGTTCTTCTGTGCCCCTAACTGAGTCTATTCCACTTGATTTAACTTGGATATCAGTGTCTGCTGGCATAATCTCCAATGTTTTCCCAAGGTCTGTAGTACCACTGCATGCAGTTGAACTTGGCAAATCGATGTCTGACAGCATTGTGAAATCATTTGAGGCTTTTGATTCTGAATTAGAATGACTGCTCTCAGCCTCCCTCTGATTCAAATCACTCTGATTGGACACTTTTCTGACCTGCAAAGAAAAATTGAAAATTATCTTATTTCAGTGAAATAATCTTAATTAGAAAACAGAAGAGTTGTAAGTACATATGCTATCTGTTCTATAAAGTTAGATTGCTCTCTAATCCAACATGAATTTTCCAGTTTATACAGAATGGACCTACGGCACCCACACTAATCTACAATGCAGAAGACCTTTACAACTAGCAAAGATTATCTGAGGAGAATGCATCTTAAATATATTTTAAGATTTGATAAAAACTTCTGACTAAGCCAAACGTGATAAAATTGTATTAAAAGGAAAAGGGATATTTGAACATATATTCTTAAAGTAATTCCATGACTGACAGTTGTCCTGAATACTGTTTTTTAATAGTTACATAAATTCAATATCAGCATTTAGACAAGTAATTCAAATAACTTTAATGTTAATGCTAAATACAGTACTTCAACTCAGATTAACCCAATGCCAATTGAGATGCATTACACACACAAAAGAAAGCATACAATTCCCGATGATGTTTACAGCATAAAGAAAACCTTTTTGATTTTCATTATTATATAAAAAGAGCTAAGAAATATCAACTCTTCTGTGTCAAGCAACTGTCAAAAAAGGCATAGAACACTCAGTTTTATCTGCCACTTTGTATGAATTCTTAGTCCTTGTTAGATATAGGCAACAGAACAGCTATTGACAATGGGGCATTTACCTAATAGAACAAAAGTTGCCAATTTTATTAACCAGCCCAGTAATTGCAGGGGGTCTAGAAGAAAACAAACCATTATTTTTGTATTCCCAACATATCCTCCTGGTCTGCCTATCAAATCCCAAGTCAGGTGATGGTCTCCATGCACACACTAGTAAACAGTGCAAGAAGCTGAATAGATTACATATGCCACCTTAGTGATGAAACTTAATGAGCACAATGCAAACAGTATTCATTTAGCTGGTGGGTTAGTTCAAGGGCTTTATTATTTCCTACTAAAAATGCAAACTATGATGTTCTTAATAATAAGCCTATTTAACTGTTTTGCCTGTCTAACCCCTGAGGACAGTCCCATCATTGCACAAGAAAACAACAGAATTACAATCTAAATTCCAAAGCATACACCAGCACTGTTATTTATTTCGCAAAGTTTACTTACTGGCCTACAGTTTTGGGGCATGAAAGGGATGGGGGGAGAATGCTAACAGTTTTTATTGTAGAAGTCAGTTTCAATGAAATCTAGCTAGCTATTTTAAATGGCATTATGAAAACAATAGTGTATCACAAAATCTGACATCTACAAATGCCAAAGCGTGCATTGCCCACAATTGAAAACTAAATACCGATATCTAAAACTATTGCATTTATTCTATGTAATTGTTCAGCAGCTCATAAAATATAAATTACTAGCAAATGTTGGTCTAAAGAGTGTAAACTGCTAATAATTGCAAGTTTACATTAGGAAACTTGCTAGCCTTCAATGAACCTCAGAATGTTCATGAAAATGTCTTCTCTATAACAATTAAGAAACCTTGCACCAACTTGCCTGCATGTTTTCCAGGATCTCCTGAACACGATTCAGTAAAGTTCTTTTCCTGGAATTCTGTCTCCAGATCTCTACATCAAGTGCTTTTTGTTTATCCTGCTGCATTTCCTTTTTTCTCTCAAGACTCAGCTGCAAATCAAAGTATGGGTGATTTATTTTCTTTATCAAAGAGCAAAATTAAATAAGAAATATTTTTAAAACATGATCTGTAATGGGATAGTATGTTTGTTGAGATCTTATGCAGTTTGAAGTAGGGATGGGAAAGTGTAAACAAACGGTTAACAATAAGCCCAAGCTTATCTGTTAACGTTAACAGGTACATGCAGGCTTCTGCCCCACTCCTGGGGAGCTGGCTGCCACCCATGGGGGCAGCAGGCAGAAGCCAGTGTGCCAATTACCTCCTTTTTAATATCCCTACATCAAAGATTAGCCTCTTTTTAATGGTAAGCTTTTTGAACACAACAGGGAACATTTGCTCAACTCACATGAAGCCCCAGAATTGGAGCATATGTATATGAAGTTCAGAGAATTAGCTTTACAGGGTCCAATTAACAGTGGATCATATGGACCTACTGCTGAGTAGCCTTCCATACCAAACTGTGTAGAGTTTGAATAGTGTATACAAAGTGCACAAATACCCTATATGGCTACTCTCACCCCAGTTTCCTACTTGTAAGTATTGGCTAATTGCTGTGATGTCAGATCTTCACAATGACTCTTCATACGGTAGGTGAATTTCAGACCCAAATATAGAAGTCCCTTCCAATGCCCTATAAACCACTCATCCTGCTCTTATTTACTGTCTTCTGGCTCTTTTCATTGGCCTAAAAACAGCATTTGCTGAAGTAAAAGAAGTTACTAGGCTAAATTCTATTTATACTACATCATCACATAATACAGAGGTGGGCAATAACACACAACTGGTTCGCTAGGGTTAGTCCCTGACAGGCCATTGCCACTTTATTTACCTGCAACAGGTACAGCTACTTAACGCTCCTGTTGGCCATGGATTGCCTTCCCTGGCCAATGGGAGCTGCAAGAAGTGGTGTCCCGGTATGTGTTGCTTCTTGCCGCTCCGACTGGTTGGGAACGGCGATCCGCAGCCAATGGAAGCTTCCAGAAGCCATGTCTGTGGAGGCATAAGCAAATAAAGTGGTGGCAGCTCTCCAGGGGATAACCCTGGTGAACTATGTCTAGCCAGCAAGTCGGTAATTGCCCACCGCTGCAATAATACTGTCTTTACATTAACTCACATAAAAACGTTGATGCTGTTTTTGCAAACACTTTGTGTAATCTCATGGCTACACACACCTATATTTCTTCAAATGATCAGGGCATATCTAATCTAAGATGCTAGATAAAATAAAGATATGGTGCTATAAAAGAATGATTTAATCTCTTATGCTGAGTTACAACCAGGCATTTTAATTCCTTTTTCTAATTACATGAATTTCAAACAGAATATAAAAAAAAAAAATCTGCAAAAACTGGTCTCAAGCCAAATCAAATAAAACGAACAGATCTGAACTCAGCCTCATGTTTAAGCTATAACATTTATATTGCTTTTCATATTTCCACATATTTTTTAAAAAAATGTACAAACTGTCACACATACATAACGTTTTCAACTGTTAAAAAGCTTCTTGTTTTATTTTAGACGTGGACAAAATATTTCAGAATAGTAGGTCTTATTCCCTTCCAAAATGCTGGAATAGGTACATTTTATACCTCACTTAAATAGATATTACATTCATATTTCAAACTACAAAAGCGAGGACGTAAGGCAAAAAACTGTCTCCCTCTTTTCCCGCTCCAACCCCGCAGGAAGCTGGTGCTGGCTCCAATTTTGCAAGAGATAGAAGGCTGTAGCGTTAGTGCAGGCTCCTCATTAAAGATTGAGGAGAGCTGGGAACACTGACTGCCTCGAAATCGACTGTCAGTGACAATTGACTGGTTGGTGACCCCTGGTCTAAAACATGTCACCCCAAGTATTTTCTAGAGTTGGTTGGAAATGGGTTTTCTTCTGTGGCAAATTGACAGAATTTAAATTTTCCATCTGAAAATTTTTATTTAGAAACAAAAATTTTGATTCAGAAATAATGTCCCAGTAGTCTGTACGAATTGTAGTTCAAGTGTTATATGCCCCCATTAGCTCCTGGGCTGCACTGCTACAGTCTCCACTCTAACTGAGGCACCAGGGTAGCATTTGAAAACAAAATTCTTCAATTTTTTGATGGTTCATTTTTCCAAGATCAAAACTTACTGCTGAAAGCAAATGCTTTTAGTGAAAAAATGTGTTTACTGGAAAACCCCATTTTCTCTTAAAAATAGTTGACTAAAAATGTTCAATTATTCCTAGTGTTTTCCTAGAGTGTTATTTCTTATTATCCAGTTATATTTTAAATAAACCCAAATAATGTTAAATAACTGGCAAATAAGCATTTTTAATTGAAATTAAAGTGCTGTTGTAGTAATATATATTTATATGTATATATATATAGATATAGATATTAGAAATGTGTGCATCTACCTGAGTCAATTTATTCAAGAAGTTATTAATAAATATCTTATAAACCTCTCCCTTTTCCCCTCTGCTACCATGTCTCCTCCCCTCCCCTCACCCCATCTGCTCCCCTGGTGCTTGCTGCTGCTTTCCACCTCTCACCCTCCCCTGCTGTCCTGGCTCCTGTCCCTCTTACTCCCCTCAGCCCTTTGGGGACCTGCCCTCCTCCTCATCCTCCACCTCTCACCCTCCCCTGCTGTCCTGGCTCCTGTCCCTCTTACTCCCCTCAGCCCTTTGGGGACCTGCCCTCCTCCTCATCCTCCTTGACCTCAGCACCCGCCCTTTTCTTCCCCCTGTGCCCACTCCTCCTCTAGCCCCACTCTGATCACCTGTAGCTACCCCTCCCAACACTCCCTCCTAACATCTCCTCCTATCCATCTGCCCTGCCTCTCTCCTCTGGTGCCCGTCCCTCCCCTCCACGTGTTTGCCCTTCTGCTTCACCACCACAATCCCCTTGGCACCTGCACCTTCCCAATGCCTCCCCCTTCCCTCACTGCTCCTGCCCTCATTCTCCCTAGTGCCCACCCCCTCACCATCCTCTGCTCTAGTTCTCCTCATGTCCCTCTGTGCCTTCACACATGACTTGCTCCATCCCTTGCATTTCTCATGCCCATCCCTCCTTTCAATCCCTCTTCTCCTGGCACCTACTCCTCCTCTCTCCTCTTCCTCCCTCTTGCTGAGAGAGGAAAGGGGAGGCATAATGGGGGCATCACACTGTCCCCTTCCTCCCCTTCTTCCTCCTGCCCTTTTCCTGATTGTGTCCTCCTGGCCTTTGTTTCTCCTCCACCCTGCCCCTCTCCTCTTCCCTCAGCACAAGCCCCTTCCTCTCCTCACCCCCACCTTCCCTTTTGTTCTTCCTCTGTCCCTTCCCTAACTTTCTACCTTTGATGTGGAAAGCAGCTTGTGTGGGCTGAAGCCGGGGCCATAGTGCTATTTTTAGTATCATGGTCCCTGGCCCTGCGAGACTTCGATACTAAAAACAGCATCACAGGCAGTCCCAGTTCCGGCTGCAGTAAAGTGGCAGCCACATGAAGTCCATTCCAGGCAGGGCAGCCTCACCGGAATGGGCCTTGTGGGGCTGCTACTTTACTCTTGCTGGAGCAGAGGCATGAGAGGTGCGGCTGGTCCAGCTGGGGCAGCCTTACCAGAACAGCCTCATCTCATGCACCCTGGCTCCAGGTGGAGCAAAAGGGCAGCTGCCCGCCACCAGGAAACCACCAGACCACCAGCTGCTGCTGCCACCAAGCACCTTCTATTCCAGTAGGAAAGCGACTGGTGAGTGCTGCTGCACGACTCTTAAAATAACATGGGCAGTGTGACGAACCCTCTGTCCTTTATGAAATGGACTTATCGACATGAATATACATAACAGAAAAATGCTCGGAGCAAATTATTTCATGTAACCTATCAATCTTCATGTCATGATCTGCTGGTTCTGTTTATTTTACATTGTATGTATCATTTTTGTGTGCAAAATGAGACATGGAGTGGGGAATATTTGTGGGTTTTAAATATGTGAATGAGAGGCATCGAGGGTATTACCCTTGATGAGCAACTGTTAATCTCTTTCATCCTTACGTTTGAGCAGTGGTTGGTAGGGAGTGGCCTCAATTCTTTAAATTCAATTTTTTGGGGGGTTTTCCATTTAAATTATTGCCCCGGGGTCGGGCTAGGAGTCAGAGGTTCAGTAAGCAGGCTGCAACAAGCTGGGGAGGGAGGACTACCTCAGCCCTCTCTCAATGCAGCAGTTTGGTGATAGGCGAGAAGCTGGGCACAGCCGGGAGTGTGGTGCATGTCCCCCAGCTGGGGCAGGTCCAGGTGTGTCTGTCCCCTGCGCTCCCCAGTCAGATTCAGGAATGCAGCCAACTGTGCACTTTCCCCTTGATCCCTGACAAAGTGGAACAGCCAGCAATGTTCCCATACGAATAGCCCCTTTCACCTGCCTGGTGAGTCTGTCTCTTTTCTGTATGGTTTCCATGTGTCCCCATATTAACTGGCAGGTAGGAGGGGCGCTTCAGCTACACCTCCCTCCCCATTATGCACAACAAACCCTGACCTTGCTTTAAGTTTTGTAAGAGGAGGCTGCATACCAAATTTGGTGGTCCTAGCTTTTACTGTTTAGGAGTTCTTGAACAAACAGATGGACAAACAGACATACTTGTTCATTTGCTCACAAACTCACTCTCTCAAATATATAGTAGATATACTAGAATAGATATGGTAAAGAAGTAGAAAACGATTAAGTGAGGAAAGACATCAGTTAGAGAAATTAGATCAATTT